GCCCATTATTATTATTATTATTATTATTATTATTAATAATAATAAAAGAAACTCAAGCAGTATACTCAATTTCCATGACTAAACTACAAGACATATCTCTTATAATTTACTCAGATTTGATTGGTTATTTTTTTTTATTCTAATTAATTATTGGATACATGAAGTTTGTTGGTTGTTTTTAAAAATGTCTTTTATTTCAAAGACAGAGACTGTTGACAAGCGGACTCCTTGTGTGCACACAAAATAAGCGAGAAACAGGAGAGGAACACTGAAGAGGAAGGTCTGGTTGCAAAAAGAAATTCAGGGTCAGTTGCATGGAATTATTTCAGCTACAGAAGGGATGGTGTTGACTAAAAACAGGTACTCTGTGGGTTTGACTTTTCAAAGCAGCATCACAAAACTCTGTATCACAAGTGCAAAACCAGTCTCCAAAATCAAAAGCTACTTTGATAGCATTGCCAGTGTTACACAATAAATGAGAAAGGCTCCACACAAGTATTTTCAGGGTTTTTTGTTTGTCTGTTTTTTTTAATTTTGTATTTTTTAATGCAGACATAAAATCACACCAATCATTCTGAAATGATGAACTCTTGCCAAATAGTCATTCAGGTAAAAGAATCCTTTAGTTTTAACATCACAATATATAATTGCACAAAAATAGAGCGTGGCAATGCCATTTTATTCCTAAACTACCATGGAAGCCAAATAAAAAATACCCCCTTTTCCTTACATAACAAAAGGAATCGTAGCAAGCGTAAAGTTTATGATGAAGTCCTTTTACCTGAGATGATGTGGATTACGTGCGGTGGCCGGACTGATACTGGCTGAGAACAGAATTTAACCTGTGGACTGAAAATAGGTGGATACAGATTGAAAATACTAATTTTCACATAAGTATTCCCAATGTAAAATATTACCGTAAGCTGAAAATGGCATTTGAAATTGTGAAAACATGTTAGAAAGGCCAAACTTTAAGTTAGAGGTTACCTATTTTTATTTATTTATTTTTAAAATATTAGAGCTATGTATGGGGCCTGAAAGCGTAACAGGATTACTATGCAAAAACAAAATTGCAAAATATAGATGGAGAGGCAGAGGAAGATGTATGAAAATCAAGGTATCTCCTCTGTTTGTGCTTACCTTGATCACGCAACAATTCAAGTTCTGCCTCCATGTTGTGCATATACAAGCAAAACAATTAGCATTGGTAGCTTAAAAACAATCACTAATAACTCGCAAAACAAAAAGATTAAAGCTAGAAGCAGGTACAGTATGTCTCCGGTTGTGCCAACCGTTGTGTGGATGTTTAGGAACTGTCGTTCAACAGTAAACTACTCCAGCTAACGACGTTACAAAGCCGCTAAATAACATTTATTGCAAGCTAGCTTGATTTGACTACCTGTGGTCACCTGGTGCAGCTAGCGTTAGCTGGAGCAGCTAATCAATCTCGGCTAAGCTTAGCTAACAAACACATTTTCGGAGAGAAGTGACGCTTACAGATTGTGGAAACGCCTCGTTTAACGCGTGTTAATATCACAAATCATGACAGATTTTGATTCTCGTTTCCGCCGCCCATTTGAAACAAACAAATAACAGCCAATGGCAATACAGATGTGCGCTGCTAAAATGGTTCCGTCTGCACATGAAATGAGAAAGAACGTTCCGATCTGTACCGGGAAACATCAGACAGATACACTGAGAAGGAAATGCCAAGATGGGAAAGATTACTTCTTAGTTTCAGTTTGTTTGGAATATATATTACGCTTATTACACTGGAAAAGATTATGTTTTCTGGCTAGTCTTTTCTGGTAAGTCACAATGTGACGCACATTTGCTGGATAACTCTGAGTCGTGGAGTCATGTGATTTGCCAGGAAACAAAATTTTGCTAACATTAATGTCACTGTGGTTCTGTTGGAATATAACGTTTTACGATCAGTTTGATTATTTATCCAGTTTTTTTCTAATCAGATCTAATCTCAAAGCACAACGTCATTAATTGTATTCCCATTAGTAGTTTTAGGTTTCCTGTACAAGGAAGTGACTTTTACAGTCATGTTACTGAGTAACAGAACTATATTTGACATTGACCTTTTCTGATAACACCCAAAGACAAACTGTATTACACATGACAAGCTCATCTGGAGAACACTTCCATCAGAATCAGTGAAAAGACAACATGGGGGTAGTTCGTGGTCTGCAGTTTGTAACACTTCTCTGCATTTTGCTATGCTGTCAGTCTTTGTAAGTTTGCACTTCATTGGTGCCGCTGTGGTCGCACAGCAGATTCCCATCCTGACTGCATTTTTCTTTCAGTCCTCGTAGGCAAATGGAATTTTCAATCCGGCACACCTGGGACAGCGACCCTGTGAACCATGACCCCATCAGGATCATCTTCTCTCCCGGGGAAGGAGGGCTGAAGATGGAGGTGTTTGGTCCATTCTTCAATGACCCAGCATCTCCTTCAGGGCCGTCCGGTCACGCCTTCCCTGGACTCTGGGATTATGAAGGTGAATAAGACAGTAGGGTAGTATTGCAACTCTTTCTGTTGCAATTGCATTTAGGGATACATTGACAAATTTATGATGAATGAAATGAAAATACTTTATTCATCCCAGAAGGGAAATTCAATGAATGGCTGCAAATGAAGTGACTGTAAAACTGTATGTAGTCAAAGTGGCAAATAGTGTTGCTAAAGTAACATTTATAATCACTTTTTTAGACATTACTTATTAAGAAAAATAATAATAATTAAAAGACAAATTTAAGTTTCCATTTAAGCACAGTTTTTTTTTTGTTTGTTTTTTACTAGCAGTTTAACATAAATTTAAATAGTCGTTTTTTTTCAGTGCATTTCTAACATAAGGGAAGAGTTCTTGGATAATATGGTGGCTCAGTGGTTAGCACCGTCGCCTCGCAGCTAGAAGGTCCCCGGTTCGGGTCCCGGTTAGGACGTCCGGGATCTTTCTGCGTGGAGTTTGCATGATCTCCCCGTGCAGCGTGGGTTCTCTCCGGGTTCTCCGTCTTCCTCCCACACAGTCCAAAAACATGTTGAGGTTAATTGGTGATTCTAAATTGTTCATAGGTGTGAATGTGAGTGTGCTTGGTTGTCTGTCTCTAAGTGTGGCCCTGCGATAGACTGGTGACCTGTCCAGGGTGTCCCCTGCCTTCACCCTAAGTCAGCTGGGATAGACTCCAGCTCCCCCGCGACCCTAGTGAGGATAAAGTGGTGTATAGATGATGGATGGTCATTCATATTTTTTGAGAGTTGAATAATAAGGATAAATAGCATCACTCTCAATCAATTAAAAATAAAGATACAACCACAAGAGGCTTACTGTATTTTATTGTGGCTTAAAAACAAAAAAATAATAAAAATCTGCCAACCAGCATCTCTGATTCCCTCGCTAATTGACATTGTATGTTTTGTTTGTTTAGTCTGTACAAAAAAAAAGTGAAGCGTAAAGGCAAGTTGAGATTTACCCATTTCCATTCCCTCTACCTAACTAAGCTCACTACCCTTGAGCTCGAAGTTACTAATTAATGGACAGATAAAACAGTGATATGGATCCTCTCTTCTAATGGTAACTCTCCATTGAAAAACCATATGATTATTCCAGTGACAAACTCCAGACTCCTTTATGTTGCTTCAAACTGCATTTTATCAACTTTCCAGATTGTCACATTTATGGCCTATTGTAATAGATTGTATTATATTGCACACGTATTGCTTTTGTGGTTCCCACGCCCCCCTATGAGTCGCGCTTACTGTACCATTATTACTGCAGTCGTGATTGAGTAATATAGTCTGTATCGTGCAATTTTCAGGCCTTTGTACACGCTGAAACAAAATTATGAATGTTTATGAGACCATAATAGTAACTGCATTATCATTATTATGGTGACATAGCAATTAAACCTTGTAATGAGGTTGAGTAATAACAATCCCTTCTAATTGACCTTTAGTAAGTTCGATTTCCGGTTAATGAGCCCCACATATTTGGCCTCATTAATGTTACTTAATAGATTAGAAGCCAACCCCATTATGATCTAGGTAGATAATGAGCATTCTGCTAGGTTAGTGGGTGCGCTGGTCCCATTACCGTAGTTGAAAGTTTATGTATCTGTTATTTTTTCATAATGGTAACTTGAAACAAACGACTCGAATGATTTAATTACGGTCCTCTTTTTACTAGGATTGCTGCTGATGAGGTTAATACGCCTTTTAAGCAGTTTATTAATACAGGATTAAAGGTCTCCTCTTAATTTTCTCTTCTTTATCTTATCAGTCGTGGAGTCTTTCTTCCTTGATAGTACTACAAAAAATTACCTGGAAGTGGAGCTTTGTCCGTAAGTACCAAGCTCAGTTCTTTTTCTGTCCATGTCAGTGATCATATGTTTGCAGTCACATCTTCTGTTTGTTTTTTTACTTTAGACATGGACAACACCTGATACTATTACTGTCAGGAGTCGGCCAAGCATTTGTGGTAAGTTGACAGCAAGGGAGTTGTCAGGGGGCTTTTTTTTGTGTTAGGTGACAAGCATTTCTTACTTTTTCCCCACTTATTTCTTCCTCCAGCAACAACTGCCCATCGTGTTTAATGCCACAATCACAGGGGACAGGTGGATGGGCGAGGCCCTCCTTCCATGGTCATACTTTCCTCCCAATGTCAACAAGATGAACTCGTACGCCATCCATGGCTCAGGAGAGAAGCGCACATATGAGGCTCTCTACTCCATCCCCAAGGAAGAGATAGTAGAAGGCCAAAAGCCCAATTTGTAAGTTTGCTGACTCTTCGGGCACAGTTGAAGGTCATGTGCTAAGGCATTATGTAAAGCAAAACATTGTTTTGTTTTGAAGTGGTACTCCAGTGATTTTCTGTTGCACTTTACAACTTTGCAGCCAGACTTAAAAGTATTCATGTTCAAATTTATAGAAAAAGTGTCGATGTCAAAGAAGTAAAATCCCCAACTTTGACTTTTTAGATTTTTAAGTAGCAACCAGGTGAAGAGTTATACTAAAACATGAAATATACTGTATCTGTGTATATAAATGTATATGTGTGTAAACAACAGTTTAACACAATATATACAAAATTCTCTTTCTGTCTCTTAGCCACCGCCTGGAGTATTTCCAAGATTTCCGCCTGCAGAGCATCATGGGAGAGGGTTGGGTCCAGCCAGAATCTGCTCTGTGGATGGGAAAGCCTTGAGGTTTTCAGAAGGACTCCTTCTCTCTCTCTCTCTCTCTCTCTCTCTCTCTCTCTGTCCCTCTTTCTCTCCCTCTTTATTTCTGTCTTGCACACAGACACACAAACTCACCAGAGCGGCAGCAGGGCAATAGTACAAACAGTCTTTGACAGGGAACAAAGGGCAATCAATCTTTATTAGTTAATGATGTCAAACCGTATGACAAGAAATATGTTATCAGCTTGTCAGAGCGTATTAGCCTTCACACACATTTGTGCGTGCGTGCAGACACACACATCACAAGATATTGGACGTCACCTTAGATTGTCTGAGCAGAGTGTGACCTACAGCGCTTATACTGTGCTTGGTGGCAAGGAATGCTCATTTTGACGTTCAGCTCCTGTGTAGCCTGAATGTTTCACTTCGCTGAGATAACCCCCAGCAAGTCCTTGTGGTTGTTTGCCCTGACTGTTAGGACGCACACATGCACACACGCACACACACACACACACACACACACACACACACACTTGATGTGAAAAATCATTTTTCAGGAAAAGCATGTCGGAGCTTTTAGATTAGTGCTTATTATAAGTAGATCAATTCACTAATTCTATTGAATTCCTTTTACAATGAAGTATGTTTACATATTAATTAAACCAGACTGTTTTTTCTATGCAATTGTTTGACAGATGTCATTTTAAATGTACCTGTAATGTGTGATCATGTGTGAGCTCGATGTCTATCCATTAAAATAATAGTCAGATGGGAAATTTTTCACTTTGTGGCAGCAAATTAGTTGAGCAAATTGATGTAACTCTCATTTTGTCCTCTGTTGAGAAGCCATCAGCTAGTCAGCTTCGCTCAGCTTCTGGGTCTACTTACAGAAGAAGAAAAATTATTTCCTGAAATGTCGAACCACATACTTCAACTTGACTGGTATAGAATAATAAGTATGTCCTCTCATTGTGTCCTATGATTGCATGATACAGATCTTCATTGATGGTTGACATAAAGTCAGTTAAAAACCGATTAGAATACTATTTTGACTGATCATGTCACTCTGCGTTTTATTACCCATCATTCATATACATATAAAAGTCCCCCACACTTAGTTTTCCCTCTACTTTGAGGAGTTAAGATCACAGACCTTCAGATCCCCGACACACACACCCAGATGACAGGGGACTCACAAATCTCTATCTTCTCCCTGTGACCCTTTGAGTCTCCTTCCTTTGCCCTCACCACAACTCCTTATAGAGCTCGAATGTTTATCAGAGGTTCCTTCCGGATCACCGACTGGCAAACCGCTTCTCCTGACCAGGAGACGCGGACGCCGATTGATTTTCATGTTGGCTGTGTTACTCTTCGCTGTGGCAGCCCCAAACCCCATATTGAGCCCTATCAGTTTTAATTGGCGTCCTCGCCTTTGAAATGGGTGCAGTGATTAGGCCTGGAGAGCCCACCGCTTAAGCCCCCTCCTTATCATTGCCTGCGGTGAATTGCCACCGCACTGCACAGTATTCACATGCACACACACAGAGTTGTCACCTTATATTCCATCAACGTGTTTCTTATTGGCAAAATGTTGACCTGAAAATATGTTTCTGGTCACAATTAGACAAAACCGGGATCTTCATAAAACGCTTTGATGCACACACACACGCACACACACCTGTGCGCAAGCCCATGATGTGTGTCTCCACTAAGATTTAAACCCAGTTCTCTCTAATTAGTGTGAAGAGATGAGAGGGAAGAGCAGAAGAGGTAGCTGCTTCCCCTCTACCTACCAAAGCCCCGGCAGACAAGCAGACACAAGAGCTGTCTTATCCCCCTCAGAAAAAGAGACCAGCCTGCTCTAAAACATTCAACACCAGCTTAAGGGTGATTCTTCGTGTCAGAAACTTTCTGGTGATCACCTCAGACCTAGTTCTTCCTCTCTATTTTTTTTTTTAAAGAAACGTGGGTCTCATTTCCACAAGTTTAAAGAGTGTTTGAGGGTATGAATGAGGATAAAGTTGTGATGAAAAATAGAACGTGAGGGATAAAGGAGTGATCTCAGAACATGAAAAGAGCGAGCGATTGAAAAGTGAAAACGGTAATGACTTCGCCTAGTTTTTCGGGATTCTGTGATAGAGGCCCAAATGAAAGATTCATACTGGAGCTAAGAAGATACTGGGACAATTTGTAGCCTTTGCAAGCTAGTGCCAAAAAAAACAGTATCAGATTGCACAAAGTGATAGAACTTATCAACACTGTGCAGTACACAATCCTTATGTGGCCGGCGTCCAATATACCACATCGCACAAAGAAAAGCAAACTTTGATCAGTGTTCATGAGGGATTTTATCTTACTTAATCACCAACATGCCATTTTTACTTAAACTGTAGGCACCCTTATCCTCAGTTTCTTTGCTCCACAAGCAATGCTATATCTGTCATAAGTAAAGGCAATACACCTTTGGTGCCGTGTTGAGCCAGTCTTACATTCATTTAAAAGTAGATTGGCCTTTAATAAAACCCTAATGGAAGTTTAAAAAAATGGCATTCTAGTGTTTTCCTGGGCCAACTGAATGCTTATTAACTGTGTCTAATTATTGTTGAACGAATCCATCATTACTGAGACGGCTGCAGGGACGAAGGATGGTGGTAAAAAGAAAGATGTAGATCTAAATGCTTCTGCAGTGAGTGTAGTGAATACAAGTGTGTGTGTGTGTGTGTGTGTGTGTGTGTGCGCGCGCATCCATGAATGTGTGATGACATAAGCACTAATTGCACTTGAAGCCTGCTAGTTTTTGCGCGTACAAGGGTGGTATGGCTAGAATGTGGGATGAAGCTGTAAGAGGCCGGAGAGAGAAGGAAAAAAAAAAGAGAGATGCAGAACCGAGCGAATGCTAGGGACATTAATGAGGGCCAGTTCTAGTTCTCCAGAACACCGCGGTGAGCCGAGGAGAAGAGAGAGGGAGGAAGAGGATGAGGGAAACAGAAAGAAAAAAAAAAGAAAGAGGAACAGAGGGGTTTCATTACAGAAGAATGTTAAACTACAATTTGCAAACTTAGGCAAGCAAGAGTCTTTTCTCTCATATTCATACATCAATAGATATGCAAACATTGTTCATGTCAACATGAAGACAAATTGTATTCAGAAGCACACGGAATGTGTAATCTGCTCCAAACAGATTCATGCGCACACACTGCCTTCATGTTTATGAATCCGCGCTTAATGTGTGCATTAACATTGTATTGTCAGAGTTAATAATTAACAGCTACTTCTGCTGTATATGCTCACATACACATTGTGCACACATTCCCAGCAAGTACACACACACTAAAGACAAGCGCCGACGCTCAATTTATTTGTCACAAGAGGCACTGGGATTCATATGTTATCATTGCATAAACATTAGAAACAAATGATATCAGTAAGGAGGGAAAAGAAACCAAATTAAGCTTTCTTTGCTATCAACACAGAATATAAATCATGAGTGTTTACCTAATTGATTCCATTACATTCCCACCTGCCTGCTGACTCTTTCATCCATCCGCACATTGTTTATCTTCATTTTAAGCTAGATGGATGAAAAAGGTTGTTATTGGATGTGAAGCCCGCTGAATTTCATCCTTTTTAGTGAGCTCATTAATTGCCAATTAGATGTAGCACGCAATTATTAGAGAATATTTGTTCCTGTACCAAAAAAACAAAAACTAACAAAGAAGCAAACTCTTGTTACAGAAGTTTGCTGTTTGTTTGGGGGAGATGCAGGATAGTGATATTCCTTTGTTTTGTTTTGTTTTTTTTTTAATGGCAAATAGACTGCATTACGCTTGAAGGTAATTTATGTGCAGCTTGATATTACTGGTTGTAAGTGAGCAAGTTCACTAACTCTTAATTGGAAAATAAATCACACGGTTGCCATAGCAACAAACACTTAAAGAGTGGTCATGGCAAAACGAGAGCATGCTGATAGTGTCTAAGCACATCGAGGCGGTGTGTGAGTGTGTGTGTGTGTGTCTTGGGGTGTGTCCAATCATGCATGCGTGTTTTCACCTACTCAAGCTCATTATCATAGAGCCTTGTTAGTAGAGCTGCTGTACATGGCATGCCGTTTCATTCCATTAGGTCTTGTTTTGTGCGCATTGCTCTTACAGAAGCAGAAGAGAGCTCGCTCATTTAAAACATTGACAAGTGTTGAAATAACAATGTAGTTAATCGCATATAGTGAACCAAAAAAATAATTACATCATTAGGTGTCAAAGTCTACCCATGTGTTTCTTCCATTTAGGCCATGTTTGTGATTCTCCCCTTTCTACTACTATGCTTTCCTTCACGTCTCCATTATCTCTATTATTCATGTTATTATTGAGCTCCTTTCTCTTTCCACCTTTGCAAATATTTCCCCTCATTTCTTCTGCTCCTCACCTCTGTTCTTCTCCCGGGGCCCTGTCCTCCTCTCTCCAGTCCCCTTCAGCTCATGAAATGGATGGAGGCAGAAAAAGCATTAGCGCAGATGAATGGATAGACTGGCCTAACACAATCTGGCCCACTTCAGTAGACAATTTAATATGGACTCGCCCACAGTGCGGTTGCCCTGCCAGGGTGCAGCACTAAATCTCACTTTGACTTGCCATGATGGATACAGATTTGACACGTCAAAACACTGCATGTGTGTTTGTTGAGTTTTTTTTTTTTTTTACGTGCATGCATGTGTTTGTGTAGACATGATGGATACGGCAGACGATCGGCAGACGGGTGAGCTGTGAGAGGCAGAACTGATAATTATAGTATTTATCTGGGTTAGGTGTCACGGCTGCCAATGCTGCATTATGAACAGATAAAATGCTGAAATGTCTTCCGGTGCATTCCATCAATTCAACACCTGCACCTGACTTATTAAAGGAAGACGACCGCACAGGAAAGAGGTGAAATGTATAATTTAGGTGACTGTCTTCCGAATCAGAATGTAGACAGTGGAGGCCTTCACTTGTTGTTTATCAACTGTCATTTCAGCTTCTTTTAGCAAACTCTTGACTGCGCTATATCTTAACTGCAAACGTTCAGCTACATGAGCACCTACATCACTTTCTTTAGAAAACTGTGCCTTTTGCAATCTTGCTATTATCGTGCATAGATTTTCCCAAGTGGTACTAGAAGTAACCGGCCCTTTCTAAAGGGGAAAATATTTCAGAAATGTATGACGATAAGTTGATACAGCATGAAAAAGTTGAGGTAACTCAGTTAAAATAAGATAGATTTAGCGGTAATAAAATGGAACATTTTACATTACACTGGGGGATGTTGAAAATGAGAAAACTCACTGAAATATAGCAACTAGGTGCAAGTCTTTTAAGTGTGACTGGAGGGTAGTTTTTTCAATCCTTGAACCCAAAGTTGTTTTCAATGGCAGGCAAACACTTTGCATACACACTCTGCCACCATTGTTTGTGACTTTGTGCAAATGGAGTGAAAAGCTGCGGTAAAAAATAAAATTAAAAAAACCCTTTCCCATTTTTGAGTTTACTTAACAAAGCTGCAAGTTTTACCGTAAAATCAAACATTGATGTTAAACTTTAAATGAATGGTTCTATAAACTGATAAACTTCAAACAGACAAACCAAAAAATAAAAAAAAGTTAATTAAAAAAGTTGCATTGCCATAAGTTGTTACATTTGATTTCCAGTTGCATTTATTTGCCAGGTTTAGGTTTGGTCCTGACTTTGCTGTATCTTGATCGTAGGTTGCACTGCTTTCAATTTGATCAGAGGCAAAAACAAATCTCCATCTTCCTGCCGTTGAACCTGTTATGGGGGTGTTTTCATTTTCAGGTTGACCTCTATCTTCATAGTTTAGTGAAAAGACAAGCGAGTATGCATATATTTTTCAACGTACAAAACATTTTATAAGGACTCTTTCAAAGATCTACAAATCAAAATCAGGCACTTTTCACAGCAGGCAGTTTGAATAGTCATATTAAAATTGCATTCAAGTGTTCCAGAAAGCCACGACAAAGGCACATTCATAGAAGAATCACTTTA